CATTAGCACCAATGTTTCTACTGGTCGTAATAAAAAGCTGGACCCCACCATCCCCTTAAAGACTTATTTAATTTGTCAATGGCTTTTTATGTTTATTAAATTTTTTAAAAAAAATTTACTTTTATTTTTTACAATTGGTTATGAATACTTTAGGAGGTGTGTTCTGAAGTCATAAGGAGTGTCATACAATAAAAAAATAAAATTTTCTTAAATTCTAAAGTGTTGTAGTACCTTCATCAACAAAATTACTAGAGTTGTGCAAAAAGCTCGAGGCTCGAGGCTCGAGCGAGCTTTTTCGAGCTTTTCATTTTTCGGGCCGAGCCGAGCCGAGCCTAATCAGTTCGAGCTCGAGCCGAGTTCGAGCCGAGCCGAGCTGTGTAAAAAGCTCGAATAGTTTCGAGTACTCGAGTTAATTCGAGTACTCGAATTTTTCGAGCACTCGAGGGAATTCGAGTACTCGAATTTTTTCGAGCTCTGAGTAAATTCGAGTTCTAGAGAAAATTCATAGAATTTTCGCATTTATTATATTTAGCAAATAGAAATATTGATTCAGTAATTCAAAAAAATTCGAAATTTTTTACTTATTAATAGTTTTTTTAGTAAGTCAAAAGCTTGAATCCATTCGAGTACTCGAAAAATTCGAGTACTCGAATTCACTCGAGTGCTCGAATTTAATCGAGTACTCGAATTTACCCGAGTACTCGAAGTCACTCGAGTACTCGAAAATTTCGAGTACTCGATACATCGAGCCGGCTCGGGCTCGGCTCGGCTCGGCCCGAAAAAATTTCGGCTCGGCTCGGCTCGACTTTTCGAGCTTTTTGCACATCTCTAAAAATTACATTTTCCTAAATTTAAACCATTTAAGAAATAATTTTTTAATTCAGGTTATTGAAATTAGTGTCAATTTTATATCAAGAAATAGTAAATCATATTTCAAAAAAGAAATAGCTTTTACCTTACACGCGTTCTTTTATGTAAATAAGTTCTTTCACAAAGTTCAATAACTTTTAACAATCTCTTCCAAACAATTAAATTTTTAAAATATTTTTTGTTATTATTATTATTATTTCCCAACTGTCATATAATGTTCCATGAATGTTCGGTGAAGTAATAGAAATGCGAAATCCTTATAAAAACTATTAGGTACACGGAAAGAAAAGGTCTGGAAGAGATATCCATAAAAATATTGTTGAGCAGAATATTGTTGTGTTATCCAATTCAATGGAAGAGACAACTTTCAGAATGGAAGCACATTCCATATTCAATGGATGAGGGAGCCATATTATATTGTTGAATCAAATATGAATGTGACATCCATAGACATGGTTGGGCTTACAATTCATGCTATGGATTTTTACATATGGCTGCCTCATCCATATAAACTTTGGTTGGGAGATCCATAGTTAGTTAAAAATTTCGATACATGTTGCGCGCAATTCATTATCATGGCATCCATTTAAAAATGGTCGTTTCAATTTGTCCGTCGCGTCGGTTTCCTGTCACGTCTATATAATCGCGTTGTGAGTTTATTGTGTATAAATAGTGTTACAATTGTTTATTATTTATTATCGTTATTGTCTATTAGTGTTTATGTAAATTCATTTTCATGAAATATGTGTATAGTATATAAGGAATATTATATGCTCAAATATTGTAGTTGCGTGTATAGTGTAGTGGATAGCGTTAGTGTTTAGTATGCGTTAGGTCTAGGGTTCGTGTCTCCCCCATCGGTTAATAATTTATTTCGTAAATATGCGGTTATTCAATAAGTGGTGTGTAATTATTAACAAAAATGTGTATAAAATATCTCAAGTGACATAGAATTTAATTAATTGAGTGATTCTAATTTTTTTGTTTCCCATTTCCATTACTATGGATCACACAACCATAGATCTTTTGCTGCTTCAACAATATACAGCCAGCCATAGAATATGGATGCAGCAACCTTAACTATGGATATCCCGTATTTTTCAATATAATATGGCTGTGATATCCACGTATCTGGATGTGTCAACTATTTCTTTTTCTCCGTGTAGAATAGAAATACAAAATATTTACAAAAAAATACAAAATGTTCAAAGTTACACTGGGAAAACGATTAATTTGATTGAAACAAATTTTGTTTTAATTAAACTTAAATTCTGTTTCATTTTAAAGTATCTGTAATTAACTTTCAAGTTTCATTCAAACATACAATTTTTTAACATACTTTTTGTTTAAACCTAAAAAAAATATGTTTAAATTAAATATAATTATTCAAACAAATGATGCTTTTGTGAACGCAGTAGATATTTTCTATATATTAATATTACCCAGGCGCGAAAGACCAGTGCTGACGATGGGTTGAAACTTGACTGAGTCTTGAACGCCCAGCGTGGGTAACCCAGAGTTGAAGCAGTCTTTATATCATTGTCACTCAATATTGGTTCAGCATGGGACACCAATGTTCGTCCCATGCTCGATTTAACACTCGGTCAATCTTCGTGAGTGGAGCTTCAACATCCAGTCTTTATTCAAGCTTGAATCAATCTTGATAGTTTATTTATTACCGTGTGCACTTAACAATATTAGATATAAATACTTATAAATTATTTAATATTAAAATATTATTTCTGATAATTTTTAGTAATTTTTTATACTATTTAAAAATTATTATTATTAATTATTATTAAATAATATAATAAGTATTATTATTATTGTTATTAAGATATTAATTGGTAAATAAATATTAATATTTATTTAGTGTATAATATTTATATTAATTACATAAGATTCATATCAATAAAGTTAAATTATTATATATTATTTTTTTTCTTGCACAGAGTCAAATTATTATTTCAAAGTTCAAGAGTTTCGTTTATCTGAAAAATTTTCAGTGAAAAAAATGCTCATTAGGTAGTAATAAATATTTATGCCTAGTAGTTTTACACTAGGTTTAACTGTTTACTGAATATTATCAAAAATATATTTTTCGTCAAACGCGCGCGACTAAACACAAATAACCTTGAGACGTTGCGATTGTCGTGCTCCCACCATCCCATCTACTCAATGCTTTCCCCTCATGACGTCACAGGCGGGGAGTGTATTGAGTAGATGGGATGGTGGGAGCACGACAATCGCAACGTCTCAAGGTTATTTCTGTTTAGTCGCGCGCGTTTGACGAAAAATATATTTTTGATAATATTCAGTAAACAGTTAATCCTAGTGTAAAACTACTAGGCATAAATATTTACTACTACCTAATGAACATTTTTTTTCACTGAAAATTTTACAGATAAACGAAACTCTTGAACTTTGAAAATAATAATTTGACACTGTGCGAGAAAAAAAAAAATATAATTTAACTTATAAAATTATCAGAAAAAATATTTTAATATTAAATAATTTATAAATATTTATATTTAATATTGTACAGTGCACACGGCAATAAAGGAACTGAATATTGTAGCAAGATTGACCGAGTCTTGAATCGAGCATGGGACGAACATTGGTGTCCCATATTGAGTGACGGCACTGGCATTGATATAGTAGATTAGGCGAGAAGCCTTCCAGCCTTCTGTGGCCGAGCGGTTTAAATGCGTGCGTTGAGAACTTCCGGTATGCGTTAGGGGGGCGGGGTGCGTGAGTTTCGATCCCAAATGCGAGCGAATATTTTTCATTCTTTGTTATAAGCGTTTATATAAAAAAATAAAATTGTGTGTTGTGTCGTGAATAAAAAATGTGAACATGTTTATAAATAATGTTAAAAGTATGTTAAAAATCAAGAAAAAAATGTAACGATTAACAGAAAAATTGTCTTTTTTTACTAAAATTATTTTTTTAAAATTACTATTCAAATGATATTTATTGTTAGTAATATATTCTTATTTATATGAAAATAATATAATTATTACAAATAATAACTTATTGTCATTAAATATATATGTATATATACGCACATGAATTAAAGTAATAACAATAATATTTATTATTATTATTATTAATAATTCATATATTCACATTATATTGAATAAAAGTGAGAAACGAGTAAATTTGGGAATAGTGGAAGCAGTCTTGTTTCAGTCTTGCGTTAGGCGTCCGCAGCATTGATTGAGCATTGATGTCCAATGCTGAATCAAGGCTCGCGCTGCAGTCTGGAATCGGTGTTACATTAAAGCTTCGATCATTCCTGCTCTCGCTGATTCACTCATGCTCAATCAATGTTGACCAATGCTCGGCCAATCTTTATAAAGCCTGAACTCGGCGTCACTTCGCGCCTGGGTAAGTTTACAAACTAATTCCAATTAAAAAAAATCATCTAATATTATTTTTGTGTTTTGTTCAAGTATATTGTTTTCTCAGTGTAGCCTCCTGTCCGGAGTTACCCTATTTTATGTTTGATATGTTACTTTCTTAGAACTTAGAAATATTCATCAAAAAACCTTCTTATATATATTTGAAATTTACGTTAAATTACAAACTGTATAGATTGGTGCGGAAATTACGAACACTCCGCTGACATCTCAAAAAACCTTAGAGCCACATGTCGATGGTGGTCTTGGTAAAAGAGTGATAAAAGTCAATCTGCCTTATACACCACCTGAAGCACAACCGATAAGAAGAAATGCAGTCATTTTAGAAGAGAAAGCTAAAGCGTTCAATGTATGTTAATCGTATTAAGTTTTCACTTGGAATGATTCCAAAAGAAAAGCTCTATTCTGATTATTTTTTGTAACTAAAATTGAAAAATTGAATACAATCTCCAGTTGTACTTTTCTGGTTAATCATTCCAAGTGGATTATTTTACTATATTTAAAATAAAAGATTGCAAAAAATTTGTAATATTTTAGAAAAAAGTAAGAACCAACAAAGCAAAACATGAAGAGGAAACAGACGTTCTTTGTTTATAACGTGCTTGCAGTGATGTACGTATGAAAATTTCGATGCATATTCTTTTTCCAATAATTTTAATATATCTTAGTAATATAATATTAATTGATTTGTAATTTATGAATTTTAGAAGAAGCAGAATGTAACAGCTAAAGTAACAAAATCTAAAACTCCAAAATACACTTTTCAAAAAACCGCTGAAACACAGGTTAGTTAAATATGTATGTTCTAATCGGTGTGCCCGAATTGCGTGCGGAAATCCAGGTATGATTTTTTTTGATCGAATTGCGTCCCAGTGGCTCCAGGGGGTCAATCGAATTGCGTGCCTGTCGTGTTTTGCCTATGAGTTGAGAACCACTGGCAACTGATTCCCCCATATTTTCCTCTTTCCGAAATGTAAGCAATTGAAGAAATTATTCGTTTCAAAATCAGTTGGCAATTAACGGGTGTGTGTTTATGTTGTGCTGTTTATCCTGTTCAATTCATTTGTGTCTTTTTCATTCACTATTATTATGGATACATTTAGTGTGATAATTGGAGAGAAAGGTAAGCCTTTAATAGTAATTGAAGGTTTTAAGTTTTCTTTTCAAAAAACGTTAAAAAATGATATTAAAAGATGGGCTTGTTCGAAAAAAAACTGTAAAGCATATTTAAAAATTACTTCTCAAAATAAAATTATTGAAAAACAAGTCAATCATGACCATAATCCGGACGAAGAGAAAATTTTTTGTAGACAAGGGAAAAAATGTAAAGAAACTATAATTAAAGAACAGTTTATGACAAATAAAATGTTACTTTTGTACAATAATATAATTACGACATTCGAATATATTGAACAAGTATCCAGAAAATTTTTGCCTATCAATAAATAATAAGTGTTATCATTGTAAATGTTTGTACTCTGCACCTCATTATTTCTTCCTTACTGAACTGACAAGGCACTTTGTTGCTGATTTTTATCTATTTCTTACTTAACTGACAAGGCACTTTGTTGCTGATTTTTATCTATTTCTTACTTACTTACTTACTTTATTATTTTCTTACTTAACTGCTTTTATTCATTTCTCATATAAAAGTTAATGCCAACTCACATTTTTAAACACGCCAGCAATGCTGCCAGTCCTAAGCCTGGATAGAGTGCGAAGGAAAATGTGGGGGGGATAATTTTTGATTTTGTCTGGGACGCAATTCCACATATACCTGAAATCATTGGCACGCAATTCAACTTGTACCCACCAGCCCTTGGGACGCAATTCGACCGTCCGCACGCAATTCGGGTTCAGCCGTTCTAATCAGGGACCCTCACGGAAATCAAATTTTGATTTCGTTACGTTATTCAAAAACGAAATTATCAATGTATTTTGATTTTGATTTTAATTTTAACCCTTTTCAAAATTCAATTATTTCTAAAAATTTACGCTACAATGTTTTTAATATTCAATTATAATTTAAAATTTTAATTAAAATACATTTTTTAAACAATTTTTATCAGAAAATTTCCCGAGAATTCAATTATTTAAATACAAAAATAAATAATTTATTCAGTAATTGCATGTTTTTTAAAATTGAATTTTTATGAAGAATTTTATCAAAATTTTTAATAACAATTGAATTCTTTAGGCGAATTTAAAAAAAATTGTAAGAATAAATGCAATTTTCTATCATTTTATAAAAATAATTGAAATCCTGCGATCAGTTTTGTTATTTATGAAAATAATTGAATTCTTGCAACGAATTTTATTAAAAATTTTTTTAAAAAATTGAATTCCTGTGAATAACTTTATTTTTAAAAATAATTGAATTTCCAAGTAAGAAAATAATTAATTTCTGACAAAAAATTTTATTCAAATTCTTACACATATAAATGTCCTGGGAAAATAAGAAATCTGTTCTGGAATGTCCTGGAATTTTAAGTCATATTTTCAGTAGACACCCTGATTGCTAAAAAGTAATATTCATATGATTACTAATTTGTATGTTATTTCACAGTATGAAGTATTTGTTACTGAAATGGACAATGATAATTCGCTTTCGGGTTGTTCAAATACGCATGACGATATTGTAACGGGTAGTACAATTTTTCAACAAAATGAAATACAAAATAACAATCAATTAATATCTTCAAAAGAAGTGGGAAGTAATGAAATATTAAACCAAAATATAATTCAAATTTAAGAAGAGAATGCTAAATTGCTAAGACTTTTAGAACAGAGAGATTCAGAACTTAATGAATTAAAAATAGTAAATAAACATCTCTAAAACATTAATAGTAGTGTACTTCAACATTTTAAAACAATTATTGTAAAAGAATGTGCTGAGGTAAAAGATAAAGTTGAAGAACTATCATTTAAAGTTGGAAATCCTGATGCTTCAGCTGCAGAAGCATTGGGTGATCCCAATGCAATGGTAAATGCTTTTAAAATTTTTCGAAGATTTTTAAATAGTATCCGAACAAGAAGTCCAAAACAAAAAGTCCAAACCAAAAAATTGTAAGTAAATGAAATTCAAAAAATTAAAATAACAAATAGTTTCACTTTGGATTTTATATAATAATCGAAATTCTTCTAGAAATTTTTTTATTTATGAAAGTAATTGAAATTTTGTGAAGAATTTTTTTGTTTTTGGAAATAATTGAATATTTGTAAAGAATTTTATCAAAATTATTAAAAATAATTGTATTTCTTGGAACAATTGTTTAAACAATTTTGTAGAATAATGGAAATTCTTCTAGAAATTTTTTTATTTATGAAAATAATTTAATTTTTTGTGTTTCAAAATAATTGAATTTCTGTAAAGAATTTTATAAAAAATGTTGAAAATAATTCCGATTTTATAGCGCAAAAGTAAAAATGTGTCTTTTTTACAAGTTTCATTATTTACTTTGGACGATTTTATTTATTTTTAATTTTTAGACTTTGGACATTTTTATTTTAGATTTTTCGTACTTTGTACTTTTTTTCTTAGACTTTCCGGTCTGTATTTATTAAATTGGATCCGGCGGTAATTATGCGACTTTTAGTTTTTTGATGACTATTAAATATCTCTTAACTTGAAAAATAAAATAACTAAAATTTTTTCTTTTTATTTCCAATAAACGTATAAAATTCTGCAAAAAATGACTCCTCCACAACAACAAAATATTAATTTTTCAATAAGATGTTTAAGAGAAACCCCATTTTCAGCGATTTGACTATTTTTTTTATATCTGCCGAAGAAATGGACGTTTATCAACATTCATAGAATCATTTTAATCGTATTTTATTGTAGAATTAAAATTTCTTAAAACAGGGTTACCAACCTTGAAAACCTTGAAACTTGGAAATGTCAGGGAATTTTTATAAACCTCAAAAAAACCTGGAAAAGTCAGGAAATTTTTAATGGAATCTTGGAAAATTATTGTTTTCTAAAGTTATTGTGCTTATTCTTGAAATTTAATTTTTCTTTATTTTATATTTCAATTTTCTTAATTCAATTTTAAAAGAGTTTCTTTTACAATTTTTCTTCGCAATAATTCAATTCTTTTCATAAATACAAAAACTCATCGCAAAATTTCAATTATTTTTAATACAATTTTAATGGAATTTCTCGAAAAATGTATAATTATTATTCTTAAAATTTTTATTAAAATTCATCAAAGAAATTCAATTATTTTCAAAAGTAATAAAATTATTCGCAAAAATTCAATTATAGTCAAAAGTTTAAAAAATTTATCGTTCAAATTTTAAATTATCTTTATAAATATTAAAATTTTTCTCCAAAATTCAATTATTTTCGAAAATTGTAATGAAATTCTTTTTAACAAATTCAATTTTTTATCAAAAATTCTCCTCCAGTCAATGATTTTCAATATCTACTATTTTTAATAAAATTTTCCAAAAGAAATGAATTATTTTAAAATTTTTTTATAAATTTCTTTACAACAATTCTATTATTTTTAAAAATATTTAATTTATGTTTACACCCTATTGAAAATCCCCATATGGGAAACCACATGGGAAACCACATGCGATCCTATGTCAAAAACCATGTAAAACCCTACTTCCATGAAGGAAACCACGTGGTTTACCATGTGGTTTCCCATGTCAAACCATATGGGAAATTGAGACAGGATTTTAGTTAGGAATAGACATGGGAAATTTGAATAGTTCATCCATGCATAAAACCATATCAAATCCCACATGTTTTTCCCAGTCAAATCCTAAACCGAATCCCATGTCAAAAACAGTATCATTTATTTATAATTATTTTCCCATGTCAAATCCTAAACCAAATCCCATGTGAAAAAAATTATCCGCCTTATTGAATATCCCTACATGGGAATCCACTTGGAATTTTACAAGGGATTTCACATATGATTTTATATGGGAATTGACATAGGATTTCATGCAAGATTTCACCTAGGATTTAATATGAGATATCACATAGTATTTTATTAAAGATCCAATGAAGAAATTTTCAAAGGATTAAAAATTATTTAATAAAAAATTAAATAATAAATAGTATTAGTGTTACAAGTCATCAAAAAAGTAAAAAAACGATCATTTGAAACACGTCCTCTCTGCTACAGGTTCTCAGCTTTTATATACTTCCAGAATCGTCTCAACAGCGAGAGAAGTCACTTTCGCCACCTAGCGGTGAAAGTATAGGAGCGACAGTAATCTTTAACATTACTAAGGAAACAATGTGGAATACCACGTAGGATTCCATGTGGTTTCCTACATTTTTAATCTAATTTCTCGAAAAATGTTTGTTCTTAAAAATTTTATTCAAATTCGTCAAAAGAATTTTAATTACCTATTTAAAAATTTGTTGATAAAATTCTTTAAATTAGAGTTCAATTTTAAAAACATTCAATTCTTCAATAAATTATTTTTTTGTATTTAAATAATTGAATTGTCGTAGAATTTTCTAATAATAATTGATTCAAATATGAATCTCAGTTAAAATTTTAGATAATAATTGAGTTTTGAAAAGGTCTCAAATTATAATCTTTGATTGTTTTAATTTTTTATACTTTTTAATTTAAAATTGTGTAGATTTAATTTTTTTGTAAAAGTTGAATTGAATTTTTTTAAAGTTATTTCAAGTTTTTATTTTCTAATATATATTTTATTGAAGAATTTCCGAATAATGGATGAAATTTTGTAAAATTCAGTTGTAAACAAAAGGATTTGAAAATGTTGAAAGAAATTTTGCAGAAATTATTAATAATAATTAATTTAAAGAAGAATTTTAGTCAAAAATAATTGTGGAAAACAATAATTGAATTGAAATAATAAAAGTAATTTTGAATAAGTTACAGTAACAATATTCTTATAATAGGTATAAAATGATGATTTTATCAGTCCAACATTTTTAATTATTATAAAACATGAAGATATCGATTGCTCCGAGTCGAAGACTCGGAGTGATCGTTATTTTCATGTTTTATAACAATTTTTTATAAGTTGTTTAATTTCAAAAAGGTTGGAATTAAATTTTTTGAAAAATATAAATGTAGTTTTAAAAACCTGGAAAAATTCGGTTTTTAACTTAGAAAACCTGGAAAAGTCAGGGAATTTGACATGAGCAAAAGAGTGGCAACCCTGTATAAAAGATTTTATTTACATATATTTCTTTAGTGAAAGAAGAAATTGGAAAAATTTTGAAAGTGCTTTTACAAATAAAAATAATTTTTAAAAATCACATATACGTTTAATCCAAAAGCTGACTAAAAGTTTAAACATTTTTTTCAAATAACGGATTTTTCTTATTACTTTTTTGCACCTTAATAGTAATTATAATTTTTCCAATTTTTTTTATGCAACTTTAATCACTTCCATATTCTAAAAAAATGTATGTAGATAAAATCTTTTAAAAAATCTTAATTCTACAATAAAATACGATTAAAATGAGCCTATAAATGCTTAAAAACGTTAATTTCTTCAGAAGATATAAAAAAATTAGTAAAATCACTGAAAATGGGTTTTTTTTAAATATCTTATTGAGAAATTAATATTTTTTTGTTGATAAGGAGTCATTTCTTGCAGAATTTTATACGTTTATTAAAAACAAAAAGGAACAAATTTTAATTATTTTATTTTCAAAATTAAAAGATTATAAATAGTCATCAAAAAATAAGGGTCGCTTACCGCCGGTAGTGTACTGTTTGTTCTTTATAAAAAATATTTCTTTTGTAGGTTATGTTTTCTGGAGTTAAAATAAATAATACCAATTGGAAAAGGCCAAAGATGCAAAAAGATTAAATTTACGAGTGACTTATCTTTCCCAGGGCTACTGAAGTCCCTTTTGCTGGAGCTAAACCGCCAAGAAATGTTAGTGAGTCGCAATTTATCGAAGTTACACATCAAGATGTCAAAAATATTATGCGTGAGTGATTATTGTTCATTTAAGTAGCGTATTTTTTAGTTGAAAATATGATTTATAAATTTTGAAATATTTTTATTTTTTCAGATATAATTCACGAACTTGAAAAGGATTCTAATTTAAAAATTACTGATGGTGTGGAACATTTAAATGACAAACCCTATATTAGAAAATATATGCTTGCTGTTCTTAAAAGTTTACGCGCGCAGTTGCGCACAGTCTTTAAAAAATAAAAGTTAGATTAAAATTGGTAAAAATTATAATTTTTACATATTTTTATTTTATGTGTTATATCCCAGTAAACAAAAACTAATTGAAATAAATTTAAAAGAATTCACAAAGAGCTTCAGTGAATCCCGCTTTGTGACAAATACGAATTGGAGCTATGTTGCAATTTTCCTGAATTCGTCAAACTGTATTGAAATTCCAAACCTTCTATTCTTACTAATTCAATGGACCAGTTTTAGGGCCTTCAATTTTTTTTAATTTGCCAGCACGAATTCAATGCATGCATTGGTCATTTCTTGAATGAATTGAATGAATCCCGCTTTCTACCAAAAATTTTAATTCATTTTAATCCGTTTATATTAGTTTTTTTACTGGGATTACTTCTGGTAAACTATCGACCAAAATATATGTTTTAAATTTTGTCGCTAGTACAAATTTTTATAATTACTTACATTCAAGCTTATTTATATTCATGACTTCAGGCTTCGCCCTCCTTTACTTAAACCTACTATTTACTACTTTTTTATGATTCGCTATTATTTAGAAACTTTTTTTTATTTTGTAACAATGAAAAATACTTTTTTCTTTGTTTTTAAAATTTTTTGATTTAACTACTTCAAATCCGCTAATTGTTAAAATAAAAAAAATTATTCTTAACATTTTTAATACTATTCTTCTTAGAGACACAATTTTTTTTAAACAATTCACTTATTATCGAACATTTTTCGAAAATGTTTGTCAAGAATTCAATTATTTTCAATTTAAAAAAAATGAAATTTTTCGCTGAAATTCAAATACACGGAAAAAAGTACGTGAATCCTTCCTTGAAAGTGCTTGACTTTTGGATAGGACACAAAATACAAGGCTGTATCATATACTTTTTATTAGAAAATATAGAAAAGTCCTAGAGTTATTCTAGTACTAGTATGGGCAACAGTGTTTTTTAAATTTTAACGAAAAGTCATTTGTTCAGTTTTATAAAGTACGTGAAACATTAGTTGACTGCGCTCGAAAATTCTGTAGAGCATGCGCAGTGTGCGTTGCGCGTTTCTACCCAAGGTAAATGCCAGCTGATCGTCTGTTTCCATTTGTGTTAATTTCAGATGTGAATATACTATTATTTTATGAAAAACAAATAGTGTCAATATATATGTTATGTAAGTATCAGTTTTCAGTGAAATAGCATGTCTCAGAAGTCGTGAAAAATTTTACCATGTGGTATATAAGAACAATTCGATACGTACTTTTAAGTGTTAAGTGTGTGTTTATATTTAAGTTATACGCGAATATATGTGTGTGTTATAGGTTAGTTCATAAGTGTTGACGAACGTCGAAAAGTGATACAATAATTGTTCTTTGTTTGTGTAATTAATTATCAATATATGTGAATGAATGAGTGAATTTTAGAAAAACTGTGTGAACAAGTGGAAATTATTTTTTTTAATTTACAATTTTTTTGAAAGTCAATGAAATTCTCAAGCAAGGTACTAGAATATTTCATTGACTGCTTTTGAAACTCTCATGCAAAATGACTAGACTGTTTTTAGTATTTTGTGTCGTATCCAAAAGTCAAGTACCGAGTCAATGAAACTTTCACGTACTTTTTTTTCCCGTGTACTTTCAATATTTACAATTGCAATAAACTTTTCAAAAAATTCGCAGTTATTTAAAAGAAATTAATAAAATTCTTCTCAAAATTTCAATTAATATCATGAATAATAGAATTTTTCCAAAAATTCAATTATTTGAAATATAATTTTCCAAGAAAAGTTTTGAAAAAAATCAATCGTTTAAAATATATTCAAGAAATTCTGGAAAAGGTATTAATTAAACGCAAACGGAAATGTGGTGCAAACTATGGAGCTCTTATTTGGGGTCCTCAAACTACAAGAAACTGCTTCGACTTTTCAGGTTGCACTTATGTGCACTTTTTGTACTCACCGACTGGCCTACAAAGAGATTCTGCTTTTAGAGCTTGGAAGAGAGTTGGTGGTGAATCAAAGCGAGGTGAATATAAAGTACTAAGAAACAGAGTAAAATTATTGATGAGAGAAGCGCGTGATAAGTACAACGCTGGCAGGCTAAAGGGTGTTAAAAATTCAAAAAAACTATGGGGGAACTAAGGCGTATTGGTCTTGCTAAGAGTAAAAAAACGATTCTCCTCTCCTTTTTAATGTAAATGAAATCAATGATTATTTTCTATCTGTTTGTGGAAACTCGTCCTTCAATATTACACCCTCCTTTCTCTTAAATGTAGTGGACGATGATGAGTTTGATGACACTCTTTTTTATTTTAAAGATATATGTCCTTCTAAGTTGCTTGAGGCTTTCAACAGTATTAAAACTGAAGCGCAAGGAATTGATGGACTTTCAAAAAGTGCAATTATGAAGGGAATGCTGGCGTTGTTTTCTCGGGTGCTTGATCTCTTTAATTTGTCCTTGCAGACATCTATTTTTTCGGATGACTGGAAAAAGGTTATTATTAAATCAGTGCCTAAAGTGAAGGTTCCGCAGCAGCCTGGGGATCACAGACCGGTTGCTATACTGTGTTCTTTGTCTAAGGTTCTTGAGAAAATGGTACATTATCAGTTGACAGATTATATACAGAAAAGGTTTCAGCACCCATACTCTTTTGGTTAGTTTAACGGATGATGTATGTAAAGCAATTGATCAAAGGATGGTCACAATAATTGTTTTCTTTGATTTTAGTAAGGCCTTTGACATGGTGCCTCATACTCTTTTGCTATTGAAACTTAAATCTTTTGGTTTGTCAAATTCTGTCTTAAGATGGTTTGCTTCATATCTGTCTGGGAGAATGCAGGCTGTTGTGGACCAAAATGGGGAATTTTCATATTGGGGAAATATTGGAACGGGAGTACCTCAGGGATCGGTGCTGGGTCCCTTATTATTTAACCTTTTTACGAATGACCTAAGGAATGTTTTAAAATACTCTAAAAATATGTACTTCGTGGACGATTTACAAATTTATATTCATTCTAGTCTAGATAATTTAAACGAAAATCTGGCTTTAATAAATAAAGATGTGAAGTCGGTACTAGATTGGGCATCAACAAATTTTCTTAAAGTAAATACTGATAAAACTTATTCTAGGATAATTGGATCAACTTGGTATACAAATAATATCAAACTAGATGGTAACTTATTAATTAGGATTAATGATATTACCATACCTTTTGTTGATTCAGTTAGGAATTTGGGTGTTATATTTAGACCGACTCTCTGTTGGGACAAGCAAGTTGGTAAAATTTGTAAAAGTGTTTATGCAACCTTGTCACAATTTAAGGGGGATAAAGGAGCTCTTACTGTTGACATTCGAATAAAACTTGTTACCTCGTTGATTTTTCCTCATTTTGACTACTGTTGTGCTGTTTATAATGATTTAACTGATGAATTAAATCAAAAACTTGAGAAGCTTCTTAATACATGTATAAGATTCATATTCAACTTAAAGAGGGATGAACATGTAACACCATATAGGTTAAGACTTGGATGGCTTAGTGTTAGGAAAAGAAGACTTTGGCTTGTTGGTTGTTTTACACAGGTTATCCTGTATACTAAAAAACCTTTATATTTGTATGAGAAATTTATTTTTAGAAACGATGTTACTTCGAGAGAGGTGAGGTGTCCTAATTTACTTAGGATACCAACACATAGAACTGAACGATAATTTAATTCTTTTATGATAACTGCAATAAATTTGTGGCATTCTCTTCCGGGCTCTATTACTACTATCGAAAGTCCAAAAATTTTTAAGCTTAGATTATATAAATATTTATTTTTATTGGATGAGTAGAATCTCGTTATTATGACTCTTGCCATTGTTAAATTTTTTGTGAGTGTAATATTGAAGATTGTTTATCATTGTTGAAAATATTTTATGAATATTATTTTTATGTGTGTTTTTTCTTTTGTGAACATAATGTATATTTTGAATTTTTGATTTTTGCTGAAAATTGTATTTTAATTATTGTTCCTGTGGCTTGCCTGGGACAAAATAAATAAATTATGAAATTATGAATTATTGTAAAAATGTTATAAACAATTAGCCTGCATTTATACTGTATGAGGTAGAAGAATCGTTTTTTAGGTAAAAATTTTGTTTAAAAAATTTTTAACGTCAAAAACTCTCCTAATTAAACTAATTTTGTTTAAAAAAATATTAAACTTTAAAAACGATCTTTTTACCTCATACAGTATAAATGCAGGCTAATCGTTTATAACATTTTTACAACAGTATGTCTTTTTTTGAAAATTATGTAATATACGATCTCGTAGCAGTTTTTTGCGTCAAATCGAATAGCGCTATCAGTTTTTTATGAAAATCAATTTTTCCTTATTTGTCTATAACAAATTGTTTAAAAATTTTTTTTTTAATTTTCAACGTCAAAAATTATTATTATGATCCTATGCCAGGATCCCAATAGTTACTTTTTATATTATGCGTTCTTGTGCCCATGACCATTAATGGGTTAAAAAAGGAAAATAATGTTTATAAAAAAATTAAAAATATATTGTTAAACTGTTTATAATAATAATATATACGTATATAATTAATAAATGTATTAGGGGCGAGCAGTAAAGGTCAAATCATCTTTTAAAATACACTGATATAGGCGCTGCTTAGTTAGCGAAACGCACAAAAACGCGTAGCGCAAACTTCAAAAAATTTTTTCTCAAAAATATCAAAAATCACTTCTTTAAAAATTTAACCACTTATTAAGGAAGGTTCAAATTTTAAGAAAATAATTTTTCTAGAAAATTCCATGATGTCCTTTGCTCTTTTTTTAACAATAAAAAATTTTTGTTAAACAAATTATTGAAAAATTAATTTTTCTTAACTTTTTTTTAATATTATAAAAAATTGACATTTTTTTTACAATTTTGAATAAATGACTTTTTCTTGTAGAATCAATAGTTTTCGAAATAAAAATTCTCAAAAAAAGTCATTTTTTTCAGTTTCCGATTTTTCAAATCTAAATATCTTGCAAAAAATTTTTTTTTTTGCAAAACTGTTTGGCACAGTTATTTAGTACCTCAAGTACTACAAAGTTACAAACTTTAAGAAAAATCGGTGATCCACCATTTGCTTTTCGTATGGAACTGCCCATAATATAAAATACTGATTTTATCACTCGGTCATCTTTAATTACTATAAAACATGAAGATATCGATTGCTCTGAGTCGAAGACTCGGAGTGATCGATTTCTTCATGTTTTATAACAATTTTTTATAAGTCAAACTCAAACTTTTTTCTTTAAATTTAAGAAAATTTTAAAAAATTTCAGTCGCTTTGTATTAAAAAAAAATCTTGAAAAAGTTGACTAGTCGTATTTTTCCACAAAAAAGTCGGAAAAAGTCACATTTCCTTAGAAAAGTCGGACAATCCGACAATTTGAATATATAAATATACAGTTGAAAATACAAAGTTTATTTAGAAATTTTTTTTGGTCTTAAATATTATATATTATACTATTTATGTAAAAAAGAAAATTACGATCCTCGACAATTGGTGCAGTTACCCTATTATATGAAAATTGATAAAATAAATTAACTCTCCTTGTATCGCAAAAGAATTCTTAAAAATATGCATTTTCCCATCGAATGAACCTTACCCCCTCTTAAAAACTAATAATTATATTTATGATAATATCTATGAACATTTGATTATGTAGTTGTACACATCTATTATACTTTGAACTGTATTTTCAGATCTTATCAATGGATCCATCTGAAGATCATTTATCTACAAGAGGAAGGGGAGTTTTCGTACGATGAGGATAGTCCATCAGAATCCGATTCAGAATATTCTAATGAAGAACATATATTTGAGAACGACGAAGTAGAAATCGGAAACCTATTTATTGAAGAAGATTTTGATGAAAATCTTGAAGATGAGAATTTAGAAGAAGTGGAGGGCATCAATGAGGAAAAGAGACGAAAATGTGGAAGCAGAGATACCTGGTGATGGAGAGGAAGGCGAAAGAATAATTGAAATGAATGTAGGTGCACAAGGATTTGTTTTTCAAGGTTTTCTAGAAGATCCAAGAATGAATGTGTACCTTCAAGGCCGAAACGATAAGACTGCAAGAGACCACCTGTTGGTTGCAATTGCGCACAATATGGCTGAGAGGGAAACATACAAGAGTCTAATTGGCAGTCTACGCTGGACTAAAAATTCTTATATCCAATGTAGATTGCCAACCACGATGAACCAATTGTGGAAGGTGATGGGTCGCGATAAGTCAAACTTGTTGTACTCAGTACATTGTGCATTATGCAAATGTAAAGTTGGTGATGGGCAAAAACCAATGAAAGTTTGTTATTGCGGCTCCTGTGGACCTGGTCTCAACACAAAAAATTTAGCAGCGTTCATATTAGTTCCGATAATTCCTCAATTGCAGGATATTTTAAAAGTGCCAAACATATCGCAGTCTTTACGGTACAGAGATGAGCGGGTGAAAATAAATAATAACAATTTAGAAGACATCTATGATGGCAGAAAATATATAGAAGAAAGAACAAATGGTCTACTCAAAGAGGACCAGAATATGTCCTTAACTTTGTGGGTAGACGGAATTGCGTTAGCAAAATCATCTAACGCCTCTTGTTGTCCAATTCTGCTAAGAATTAATGAATTACCACCTTTTGCACGAATTAAGCATACAATTTTAGCAGGAATTTATGTGGGACATCAAAAACCTAACATCAATAGTTTGTTGCTCCAAATTGTTGATCAGTTAATATATTTACACACGATCTGAGTTAATGAGAATGGCACCTCACAACAGTCATTTTGCTTGTCCAAAATGCTTTGCAGAGGGAACATATTCGAGACTATATTCCAAAATGGTTTATCTTGATGAACCTTCTGTCTTACGTCAGGATCAAGATTTTCGTAATGATATGGAGATTGCAGTACTCACAAGAAACAAAATAATTGCAACAATCACCTACTCAAATTTCTAGGCATCAATTTCACAAACCAATCTTATTCTAGCTCGAGCTTTCTTAATGCAGTTTACATCGCTAGCAGAAATTCATTATGGGCCAAAACAAATGTCGTTCAATTTTCATTTCGCAAAACACTCACCGGAATCAACTGCTGATTGGGGGGTCAACGTGGGGATATTCTACTTATCCGTTTGAAAGTTTTGCATGTAAGATTAAGGACACTGTTACCAGCCCGAATGGTCGAGCAGAACAAATAGTGAATCGATTTCTTATGAAAAAATATGTAGAGTATTCAATTCATAGAGATGACGTTCCTGTGCCAACAAAAAATAAAATAAAGCGACTGCTAAATCATAAGACAGTTAACATTCCAGAAGGAATGCAACAAGGGCATTATTTTGCGGGTGAAGGAAGAAGACAGCGAAGACGTCTCAATCAAGAAGAAATTAATGCTATAAGAGAAATAGAAGAAATTAATGAAGAAACTATTGTCTATCAGTATAAGAAGGCATCGATTCACGGGGTAGAGTATAGAGTAAAAAATAATATCGAGAGAGAATTTTGTGATTCAATAGTTTATACCAAACATGGATTTTTTTAATCACTAAATTATTAGAATATGAAATTGAGGAAAGAACGGTTGCTGGCATCATGGGAGAATGTTTGAAAGAAATAGGTAATCTTTATCAAACAAGATATATAAAGCAAGTGGTACTAAATGATGAATTAAGATTTATTTCTTTCCGTGATGTCATTGTACCAGGAATAAGCTTTGAGACTATGCATAAACTTATAGCAATTCCTTTGTCTAATACATCAAATATAGATTGATATATTGGAAAAAAAGAAAGAAATTAATAAAAGACAATCTTTAAACTGTTTTAATTGAAAGACTGGTTTTATTGTTTATCGCCACTAGATTTTCAAAACTTGAAATACTCTCTTCTGTGACTTATTGTAAATCACCTCAATTATACAGTAAAAACAATACTGTACAAATTTTTTTGAATTTTTATTACTTTGTATTTCCAATAATTCAATAATCTTGATTTTCCCTAAACCAGATACTGACAGTTTCTTTTTTTGTACCGGCGTATTGATATTATTACGGCCTTACACCTAAAAAAAGTACGTAAGTGACATTAGAACTTTAGGTTGAATTTCATGTGTCCATTCTATAGAACGATAAACGAAATTTATTTATAATAATAATATATTTTGAGGGTTGATTGTCCAGAACCAAGCGATATCTTATAACAAAATGGCGGACGAATTCTGTTGTAAAGCTGGAGCATACAGTTCTTTTTTAATTCTCGGGTACAATTTATTTACATAAAAAATATCAACGATCGACATTAAAAGCAATCCTAGAATATTCTTCTTTTAACGATTAATGTAACTATTGTTTATATAAAATTAGAAAGCATGTAAAACAAAATCAAAAATGTAATTTTTTTATGCTTAAGTTAAACATTTGTTACACAGAATGGGGAAAAAATTATCAAGTATCATCGTCGTGATGTTCTATCTCTTCGTTTTTTTTATAAATTTAGGAATATTTTCAAGAAGTTGACATAATAGACCAAATTTTGTTACAAGCGGAAAAAGTAAATTGTTGTCTACAATTATTATTTCAATTAGAATTTATTATTATAATATAGTTTACAACTAGTTTTTTTGTAATCGACATTTAATTTTTCTCCAAATGAAGGAAAAATTATTCTGCAATGTGTGAATTTTGTTTATAAAACAATTCTTTTTTTCTAGAAAAGAAACGAGTGTCGGCCAGCGAACCCTCAAAGTCAAACAAGTTTTATACATCTGAAAAATATGTATAGAATTTTTTGCAATATAAATTTGCAATATAAAATTTTTGCAATAAAACAAGTCAGCCACAGTTGGGCCATCAGTCGGCTAAACTGTGATTTCCAAAGTTGCGAAACAAATTTTATAATTGTCGGCCAAACCATCAGCCGCAGATGGACCAACGGTTGGGTGAACTACGGCCAAAATTAAATAAATACCAAAATTAAATTGTATCGTTCCATCCTGACAAGTTCACAATTTGAGGTGCAATTAAAGTAGGCAAAATTTTTAACAATTGTTATTTATTTGCAATTTGTTACATTTGTTTGATAAATTAATAAATATTTAATTTGTCTAATTAACCCTCGGAGAACAAACCTCTTTTTTAGACCATTTTTTAAAGTTCAACCAATTTTAAACTGATCATCTAATCAAACTAAAGAATTTTTTTAATATAGTTTAAATTCTGTAGAATAAGTCTGTATACTTGAAAATCTTTATTAAAAATATTTAAAAAAGATAAAAAGCTTTTCGTAAAAAAGCGTGGGGTCAAAAAGACCCCATGTGTTCTCCGAAGCTAAATTAATTAATTAATTAATTAATTATTCATTTCTGAGCGATCCCATGTCAAGTGATCAAGATGGACAACATTTTTTCTCTAATCGTGCATAAACTTGGGGCTTTTGTAGCACTAGTGGATAGTGATTTTTGGTAAAAATTTTTACCTAGTCTAATATTTTCCGAGGGGGAAGGGGATGAAAGTTTTACTTTTTTCACCTTCAGGGGGAAGGGGGTTTTCGGTACAATGCTTATTTTGATAATTTTTTATTTTTAAACAATTAAACATAAAAATTTGGCTAAGTACAGTTTAGAAAGGTTTTTTCATGCTCTTTCGATTGGAAATAAGCATTTTGAAAAAAAATTTTTTTGCCTAAAAAAATCAAAATTAAATTTTAATTTTTGGGGGAGAATGATACGATTTTTTTTAAACGAAAGCTGAGGTTTTTTTACTAAAAGGACTTATATATGCGAAAATGTGCCTAGAATGTTTAAACACTGAAAAAAAGAGATTTCTACCAAACGGAGCCAAAAACCGGGTTTTGAGCTCTCTGGTCAGTAGAAATCTCTTTTTTCAGTGTTTAAACATTCTTGGTCCATTTTCGCATATATGTGGACGTTCACATGAAAAGGGCCTATTTTGGCACTATTGGAGTTATCTATATGGGGGTATTCCTGGCAAAATTTGGAAATTTTTGAGTGGTCTTAGAACTTTTTTGGTTAAAAATTCGCTGAGTTACGTAATTTCAAAGTTTAGAACGTCAAAAACCTCATTTCGAGAAAAACGGAATTAAAGATTGCGACACCAACTAATTGTTATATCTCTGGTTCTTCTTGGAAGTTATTTAGATAAGATTTGTTTCCGGTTCAGGGCACCTTGAAGATAAAAAACCAACAGTTTTTAAATTTTTAAAACCATCCCCCCCTTAATTTTGAAAATACGAAAAGTCGACAATATGGGCCCTTTTCTAAAAAGGACAGTTTTTCTATTAAAAAACCATTTTCTTACAAGATTAATGATTAGGTACAATTTTATTGTGTCATTTGAAGAAAAAGAATAGATATTAAACTAATTTAAAATTTTTTACAGTCTCTATTATGAAAAAATTGACGCAATATCCAAATTTTCATTTCGCCAATTACGAAAAAATACTCTAACATCAATATCTCTGGTTCTTCTGGGAAGTTATTCAGATAAAAATTGTTTACAGTCCAGGGCACCTTGAAGATGAAAAATCAAGAGGTTTTAAATTTTTTCACACCCCCATTTTTAAAATACGGATTACTTTTGCAAATGACCGACAAAATGGGCCCTTTTCATTTTACTAAAGAACCAATGAAATCAAACAGTTAAATTATCGATAACTTAATGAAAACCGCATGATTCGACTTGTCAAAACATGTAGATTGATAATAAAAAATAAAAAAAAAATTAAGATCTTGCTCCAAAATTATTAAATTGCTATCTCGAAAACTAGAACCGACAATATGGGCCCTTTTCATGTGGACGTCCACATATATGTTCTTTTAGTAAAAAACCTTAGCTATCGTTTAAAAAAAATCGTATCCTTCCCCCCAAAAAATTAAAATTTATTTTTAATTTTGATTTTTTTTAGACCAAAAACATTTTTTTTTCAAAATGCTTATTTCCAATCGAAAGAGCATGACAAACCTTTCCAAACTGTACTTGGCCAAATTTTTATGTTTAATTGTTTAAGAGTAAAAAATTATCAAAATAAACATTGCACCGTAAGACACCTTGATCACTTGACGTGGAATCGCTCTTTTATATCTTAGTTTCAATTGTAAGCACAATTATTTGATTCGCTAGAATATTCCTTGCTATTGTAGGTGGACATCAGAGGACAAACTATTGCATCGTGACAATCTTCTTGATATAAAGATCATTCCTTGAAGGTGACAAACCACTTTCTAACTTATAAAGAAATTCCCAGAAATCTTTATTATAAATTAAAACTCTCCAGTCCTAAAAACACAAAAAAGTTAAAAATATAAATATAGAGGTGTGCAAAAAGCTCGAAACTCGATCGAGCTTTTTCGAGCTTTTTATTTTTCGAGCCGAGCCAGAGCCAAACCTGATCAGTTCGAGCTCGAGCCGAGTTGAGCTGTGTAAAAAGCTCGAATAGTTTCGAGTGCATTCTAGTACTTAAATTTTTCGAGTATTCGATTTAATTCGAGTACTCAAAAAAACTCGAGTTCTTGAGTAAATTCGAGTTCTAGAGAAAATTCATATAATTTTCGCATTTGTATATTATAATTAGCAAATAGAAATACACTTTGAAATTGAAGATTTATTTACTTTATTGATTCAGTAATTCGAATAAATTCGAAATTTTCTACTTATTAATAGTTTTTTTTTAGTAAGTTAAAAGCCCGAATTTAATCGAATACTCGAATTTACCCGAGTACTCGAAGTCACTTGACTACTCGAAAATTTCGAGTACTTGATACATCGAGCTGGCTTGGGCTTGGCTCGGCTCGAAAAATTTTCAGCTCGGCTCGGCTCGAACTTTCGAGCTTTTTGCACATCTCTATAAATTTATGAACAAATTAGAGCCCAAGTGCGAAATTACAAGACTGCAAAAACGGCCTATCATTGGTCCAGTAATGTCTGCCGAGAATTGTCAGTAGTTACTGGGACATTACTGGTGTTCAAAACGTCCCATTGCTGGGCCAATGATGGCGCCGATGGACAGATTTTCAAATTTTTTAAGACTGGGCCAGCTCTTGGCTCAATAATGGCACATTCATGGCAAAGTTGATCAATCTTTAATGGCAAAAGACAATTGCCAGTGATGTGCCGACCATCGGCCCAGTAATGGCTCATTTTTGAAACTTAAATGGCAAAAAATTTGTATCTTTCATGGCAAATTATAATTGCCAGTATTGGGGCGTAGCTTGGCTCAATAACGGAACAATATTGGCAAAGTTAATCAATCTTTAATGGCAAATTTAATTGTCAGTGATGTGACGAAGATCGACCTATTAATGGCACAATAGTGGCAAAAATTTTGTATCTTTGATGGCAAATTTTAATTGCCAGAATTGGTGCGTAGCTTGGCCCAGGAATGGCACATTAATGTCTATCATTTTGTATTTATGATGGCAAATTATAATTGCCAATATTGGGACGTAGCTTGGCCCAATAATGGCACAGCATCGACCAGTGTAGTGTAGCTTATAAGAACCCTTTTGCACAGTAAAAACAGTGTCTCAATGTAAGACGTTTTTGACCCCACTTTTGAAACATTTGAGATGTTTTACCTCAATAATTTTGAGGTATAACACCTCAAATGTTTCACGTCAGAGTAGCAGAGTGGTCAGAGCGTTAGGCTGTGGTGCGTCAGGTTCAGGTATCGATCCCCGCGAGCGGTAAAAATTTTTCAAATGTAAGTTTGCGTTTAATTTAGAGAAATAAGCCGTATAAATATTATAAATTAATTAGTTAATTAAATAAAAAAAATATTTATTTTATTTTTTTTAAATTTTGTCAACACTAGGGGAGTAATGGCAGCCAATATTGAGCCAGTAATGTCTGCTGAAATCTGGCTGCCAATATTGGGCCATTAATGTCTGCCAAGATGTGGCTGCCGACGTCCAACCGTGGTTAACATCACAAGAGTCGGCGCAATGTCAGACCAATATTGTCTGCAAGTCTCGATGCCAGCTTTGCCAATACTGGGTCAGTGTTGGGCCGCGTTTGTTTTCGCACTTGGGAGGTTATAAATTATGTAAATCGTCTTTTTCATCAAAGAAGTAATTAATTAATTAATTAATTAATTAATTAATTAATTAATTAATTTATTAATTAATTAATTAAGTAATTAATTACTGTCTTTTTAAATTCTCGATAATAAAATTAAAATTAATAAAAATTGTAGAATGCTGTAAAACAATATGTATAGGTTTTTAATTTTATTACAGTAGAATTCCAATTATCCGGATTCCAATTATCCGGACGTCCGATTAACCGGATTGTCGATTTAAAGAAAAACAGTTCTGCGGTTTTGAAATTTGCTTCTGATTTGGAATGTACGGATAGAAACCCGTCCAGAAAAGTTATGAAAACCTCTCAAAATAAAGAACTTGAGGCGTCAATGTTTAAATAGTTTTTGCAGCAGCGTTTTAAATAGCAGATTGAAATCTTATTACTTAAAACATATAAATCTTATGTTCATTTCGATTATCCGGATTTTCGCTTATCCGGATCGGGTCTGGTCCCAATTCATCCGGATAATTGGAATTCTACTATAATATAGAATAATTTTAGAAAGTAAATAAGTCCTTAAAAATCCATAACCAACAAAGCACAGTATTTTTCTGCAAGTTTTCCATGCAAAGTTCGCAAGTTTGCATCCAAGTTTGCAGCAAACTTGCATACAAATAAAAATGTCACCCTCTTGGCAAGTTTGCAATGAAAACTTGAGGAAAATTTGCAGCAAACTTTCTAAAATACTTAAAAAATTTTTTAAAAAAATTTTTTCTCAAATTGCATATATTTTGATGAACGATGCCTTCCCTGCACTGAAAAAAATTCCTAGGCGATTTGACTATGCTCCTAGTTACGAGAGTCATCCACTAAGAATTTCACGGAGAAAAATGGAAAAATGATTTATGCAGTCAGTGTAGTACTCCTTTATAGAATAATATGTGACAGGTAC